AGAGGAATAAAAGAAGAAAAATGAAAAAAAAAAGTTTGTGTCGGGCCATTTTTAGTCATTTGGTCGGGAGAGAGTAACCAAACATTTTTTTTAAGATGGCCTTATTCAATATGATTAGTTGAACAGTAGAATTACATATGACTGTGACATGGATTATTTTTATAGTGATATTTTAAAAATTAATATGTTCTCTGAATATGTAAGGATCGATCACTATTGATAACCTATTTTGTGTTATTAATAATTTAATTATTTATTTTTTTTTTGTATTTTGCACACCTGCTTACCTTATAATCTATAATTTTCATTATAATAATGATTTTCACACTTATATCTAGTAACGTTTGTATTTATAGCTAGGCAGCGATAGTATAGGGCTAAGGAAACAAGTATGAGTGGTGTATGCATGGTAGGCGCGTGGCTGTCCTCTCATTGTACAACAGTCGAAGGTTTATTAAAAATTGTAGATCAGCTGTTTAGAGACGGTTTAGCATGGTTTATTCATTATGGCTTCAGGGTCTGTTATGTGAAGGTCGGAAAATTAGGGCACTCATTGAAATTGCTGATGGCCTATTTATTTAAGAAAATTCTGCTTGTCTATCAGGGCTACCTAGAAGGAAACTTTTACTCAATCTGCAACTGTTTAGGTAATTAATGGTATTTATACTTTCATTGCACCCTGCAAGTAATATAACTGTAATATATTTCTATCAAATTAGTACAATTTAAACAATTGCGCATCCATCTGAGTATAATTCGTTACTTATCAAACATTTTTTACATTCTCATCGATGATGCTATTCAAGTTATATATATATGCCGGTGTGATTAATGTGTGAGGGGTGACAACTATAACACGATCAATTCATTATAGCTCAAACAAAACTGGAGAGACAGTAAAGTAAACACGTAATTCTGAAAAAAACGTGTAAGGAAGAGATAATCTTCTCATCATAATATTATTACAAATAGTTAGACGTGTCTGTTCTTCTTCCCTGTTTAATTTTTAAGTTTTATGAAAACTTAAGCCACAATGCGGACTCATCAAAACATTGACACAACCATGCAGTGAACTGTACTCACTCTGTAAATGTAATTTAAGGAAGTAGAGCTTCGAACAGAGTGAAATCATTCAGTGACGGTGTTCGGGTACAAAAATGGAGAAGTAAGTGTATACGTGGTGTATACTGATATAGGCATGTTATTAACTGAAGGATTTTGATTCACTTCTGATTTAGTTGTTATAGACGGATTGTTGTTTATAGAGACAATTTAAGTTGCTGTTCGTCAACGGGTTGTTTTATGTTTAACTGCATGTTTAATTTTTTATATATCTCTTGCGTAATCGGTTCTATAGCATATATATTTCATTTTTTCCATTCTTTCAAGTTGTTTCAATATAATTGTGTCAACAACTCGATCTGTTAGTGTTTTAAGTCGGGAAATTATATGTGTGGTCATATTCTTTAGAGAAGTGGACAGGTTTTCGCCTACATTATACATGGATGTTGGCGAAAGCCTGTCCACTTCTAAAGAGAATAGTTTGGTCAGAGATCGATGTTGTGGTTGTGTGTACTGAATTTCTGTGGATTGAATAATTGGATCTTTCTAAACACAATTAATAGGGCTAAAAGTAATTAATCTTTTTTTTTTATTTTGACTTTCTTACAATTTAACGTGCATACATGCAAATCGAGGGAAAAATCAATTTTGAAACAAAATTAAGTTTCTTTTTTTTAAATGAAATTATGACATGCATGAAGTTAGGCGCTGCACATGTTTCATTATTTCACGTGCCATCCGCCGGTAGACCAGCCGACTTTCCTCGGTGTTCATTGGTCGATATTAATAAGTGGCTGTCTAACACGTGAACATCGAACTGTCCTTGACATTGTCAACAATGTGGAGGCTCGGTGAAATACACATGTTCAGTGATATTTTGTGGAATAATTCAGAAGAAAAGTACATGTGTTTATTTCATACAGGATCCAATAAGGTATTTGTCTTTAGATATGTATTTATGAGTCGCTTTTAATCATTTGTGTTACCTGTGGCCTTGGGTTTTTTGATGGAAGTAGTTACATGCAACTTCTCTCATGTTAATATCGTTATTTGATCAAATGGGAGGGAAAAAAAGGCTTTATCTATTGGTATTCTTGAGTGGAAACAATTTTTAAATGGCTGTTTATTTTTAATGACAGATCGAGAGTAAGGTACATGTAAATTATGTGCACAGTTGCATAAATTATTTCCATAAAACATGCAAAGAATAACTCTAAACGTTAACGTTAGATATCGATATTTTTAGCCTAATATCGCTGAGCTGTCGGTAAACTACCGGCAAGCAAAACCTTGTCTGTTTTGTGTTTTACGTGCAGGTTTATCAATTTTAATCATGGTTTTATGTACAGTTGTATTAAGTTTTTGAAGCACAGCTTATCTTTTGAATCAATGCAGAAAAGATGCTGAGCCTGTTCATCATTTCTCGTGACATCCCCCCTCTCTTTAGAAAATTGACTATTGACAAACTGACAATAAACTTGTATAAGATTGGAAATTTAAGTAAATTAAAAATGAGCATATTATACAGGTGTTCTTGGAATAACATTGATTTATATGACTGCTTGTCTGGTCATCATGGTCATAAAATTAAATAATTTACAACATACTTTCATTACAGTATCCACAAATTATGCTTGGTCATCTAATATTATGGCTTTAGTATACTCAAGATTTATTAACAATAGCTTTAAAGAGATTCTTATTCAATATGATTAAGTACATTACTCTGATCAGATTAAAAGTTATATTTTAGTCTCACCTTAAATAACCAAGGTTAAACCAGTCATACCATGAGGATCAGCACTCCTTTATTAGTTATTACCACATTGAGCAAAATTAGCATTCAATCCCAGCTGACATCTTTGAGCTTTTTAAAATTGGTCACTGTTGTTGCAGGTTTGTCTGTTTGTTAGACATGTTAGATGCTGTCATTATTTTGAGCAATTTTTTTTTAAAAATACAATTGTTTCCTGTTAAAAAAAAAGACAGAGTGGGTTGGGTTTTTTTACAACCAAACTTTGTTATCTCAAACTCAATATGCTATAAAAAATATTGGGACTATAATTTTTAAATTCGCTGACATTATTTAGCATTGGTATTCAAAATTTGAATATTAATTAAACATTCACTTTCATATGTTCTTCTAGAACCTGTCATCTTCAATAGTCTTTGAAGATGCATATTTTTAAAATAAATTTAATTTTTTTTAAATTTCTGAATCATAATTAAAGCATGACCAGTCGAGCACATGTCTGTGTATGTAACCTTATTCTTTATTTTCTAATTAATGGTTACAACTATTTTGCTTGTTGATACATTTACCTGCGGCCATGCATTCACGCGGCACGATACACATGTAAGCGACCTTGATGCTAAATCTGACCATGAAGTGCAGTTGTTCAGTGCCTGCTACCTGTGTGGAATATGTCATTGGAAAAGAGGTCATACTCACATCAGACATTACTGATGGGAATAGTACTAGTGCTTTCTCTATCACTGAAAGTAATGTCAGGACAATTCATTCATTGCTCAATGCTTCGGAGGACTTTCACACTAAAGTGTAATGAACGTTCCATACTTTAACCTGATTAAATACCTTTACATGGGTAGAACATCAAACGTACCTGTTTCATCAAGTTTTTATCTGAAAAAATCAACAAAGATTCATAAACAAGAGTGTTTATTATTTGTGACAGCTAGTTGGATGAGAATCAACACCTGTATGTAAACCGTTGGACTTTCTGAGTATAAACATGATGAATAGATAGTACATGGTATAACATATATAAAGAGAGCAAGGGTTTTGTTTTCCCCTAATCTTTGTCAACTGGTTCTTTGTCGGCTCCTTTAGTTTATAGTAATTTTTGTGTCTATACCCCTATGTTTGCAGGTGGTACAAGATGGATAATTAACTGATATAGTCTTCAGTAGGTACATTTTTGCTTTTCATTATAATATTGTCAGTTGAATATGATTGCATTTTCTGATGGAGGAACTGAGGTTCAGAACAGTTGAGATTTTCCTATTGTCAGGGTTATTGGGAAATATATTTTTGTTCATTCTGGTAATGCGTACTTGTAAATATATTTGAATTATTTCAACAAATTCACTAGTTATTAAATAACATCTAACATGTCTAAAGCCCCCCTTTCACTCAGAGATGGCATACATGACGTAAGGCGGGTAGTGTAACGTGCTGTAAGCGGTTTTATTCATATCCGTAAATGAAATCAGTTTAGCATCAGTAAAGATGAAGGGTCAGGTTATTAATGTTCAGGAAAGGGAAATACTTGGATTGGCTGATAAGCTTATAAACACTTGTAAATGTCAACATGATTCAGGCATGCATATTTTACCCTTGATTCTTATTACAAAAAAAAAATAATAATAAACTAAAAAGTGAGAATGATCAGGTAAACAATGGATAAGAACAACTGAATGAAATGAATGGGTAGAACTGTAATTTTGATGACAAGGCTATCTTTAAAAAGGAGACACTGTGTTGCAATAATAAGTACTACGCAGTTGTTTGCTCCCTGTCTGGTTTATTTATAGAACAAAAAATAGATAGCGTGACCTTGCTGACTAGCATATTTTAAATTGTTTATCTCAGATGTTTTTATGTTCTTACATAAATAATGTCAGCAAATTGTTGTTGACTCATTTTATTGAAAAAAAATTGAGGGATACATTAGGTAGAAAAAGAATAAAAATGGGGAGGATTCAGTAAGTTATATAGTCATTGAACTACGACTATAATTTAATTGTCCTTTATTCCGAACACGTAAACAAAGTACGCGGTGGTCTATGTTGTAGCTATTCTTAGTATTTTCATATTCTGCATGCTTTATAAAAGTATTTCTGTTTAATGAAATCTTTCACAGCTTACAAATATATATGCATGCTTTTGATAATGGATTCTTTTTTTTTCTCTTCAGATTTCCAAATGCTAAGAACACTATCCAACAGTTTTACCTATCAAGAAACCATGCCTGTGGATTATGCAACTTATCTTCTGTCTACAAGCCCACCAGCTTCTATGCTGGAGCAGATATTATCGAGCCACTGTGACAAGTTACCTGTACACGACTCAAATAGAAATGTGTTTTCGTTCTCAGAAACAGCAGCTGAAGTCAAACTAATGGAGAATGAAACTGAAAAGAAACCACCCAAGTCAATAATTCAGCGCTGTAACAGCTACGAAGAAGAAGATGTCGAATCTTCTTCAGGATGTTCATCTGGACGCGAATCACCCACCCCTCCTTCTCCAAAGGGGAAAAAAAGAGTTTCGTTTGCAGACAATCGAGGGTTTGCTCTTGCAACTGTTAAAATCATGACAGAACCTTCAGATGTACCTCCAAGACTAAAACCCGAAATTCTGGAGTCCATAACACAAGGGGCTACAGCTGGGGTCTGTTCAGGACCTCCTCTTGTCCTCGATTTCAAACAACCAGCCTCGGACTACCTCTCCTTCAGAGACAAATTGGAGAAATATTGTGTTTCGTTGGAAAATGTCATAATTCGAGACTATACAGTCCTTGGAACCGTTAAAGTTAAAAATTTATCTTTTGAAAAGAAAGTGTTTCTGAGATGCACTTTTGATTCTTGGGAGACACACATGGATGTGGAATCTAACTATGTGCCATATTCTGATACTAACACTGTGTTCGATACATTTTCTTTCGAATTTGAAGTGCCTACAAACTTCGACCGGCAGAAGAAGATGGAATTTGCCGTCTGCTTCGAAGCAGATGGAAAGCAGTTTTGGGATAACAATGAAGGGAAAAATTACAAAATTTTCTCAGCAGATGCCAAACCTTCTGAGGAGGAGGTCAAACCTTTGAAGCCAATAGATGATATCTCCAAACTTAGAAATGTGGAGTGGACTCAGTTTGCTCCATGGAACAAAGTGGACACGACGCTTCCGTATTGGTAGTAGCATCTACAGGTAACCCTCGTGATTATTCCCATTGCTGTGGTGGTAATAATCCCACAAGTATAAGAAGAACCAGGGACTGATGTCCAAAGAATTCTGATGAAGTTCCTCTTTAACAGAGGTTTAGTCAGTTATGTCAATCTAGAAAACGGGGGTGTCATCATGGAATGGACACCAAATTCATCCATCAGACATCAGTGACTGTTTAACCAAGGTTGTGCTGGCTGTGATGTGATAGATGCCCATGTCAGAGTGTAACGCTGGCATGAGATTGTACATTATTTGTACAAACGTAGAAATCATGTATATATACATTCATTTGTAAATATGCGCAGATAAGATACATTTTTGTAATATATACTTCATGTGTCATTCGAGTGTTTTCTCATCAGTTTGAAATCAGGTTCATTCAGTTGTTGAGGAATGTCGTTAATTACTTTAGTAATATAATTACTGAATACTGGTGTACAGTCTAATTTTCTGTTTATGTATTGTTTAAGATCTCTTAGTATTGACTTCAATATGTGATTATTAGAAGAAGCTTGATTGATTTAAGTGGATGGAATGTAAAAACTGACACAAATATATTGGTGCCACACAAGAATAGATGTATCTACAAATTTGATAGTGAAGAATGCTGAAGAAAGTCGTATTGAAGTCAATACAATTTTAGAAATATCTTATAAATATAAGTTATTGCAGTGCAATTTTCTTTTAATTTGCTATTCATTGTAGCATGTGCATGTCATTTTTAAATCTTATTAATATTTATACTTGCAACTGTACATATGTATTGTGTGTCTATATCTGCAGCACAGAGTGCTTCTTGTACAAAATTTGATGAAGGGAACAGGTACTCTTTATCTGTGAACTATAGGGCATCTCCATTAACCATTCACACAGTCACACCATGGGCATTATCAAGTAGTTTGATGTTACCCACCCCGCATAACAATAAACACAAAGAAAGATAACTCTTACAGTTGGAGGACTTGTATATTTTGTCATAATATTGATTTTTCTTTAATCAACAATGGGTGGAAAACAACCACCTGCAGGTTATGTAGGTTAGTAATAATACTTTGTTGCTTTTATTGTTTTGTTATCGATATTAATTTTTGTTGTTAGGCCAAAATAAAATATACTCTTGTTTCCTGTCACCCGACCTACCCTATATTTTACCCTCCGACCCTAAAAGTTTTTATTACATTTTCGTTTTGGGGGGGTATTTTCCTGAAATACTGTAGTCGACCAACAATATTCATAGAACTAAATACATCACAAGTGTACAGGATACTTTTACCTTATAAATCTTCATTAACAAACTTGCTTTGTAAACTGTTAAACATACTGTTTTATTTTTATTATCTGTTATATGTCCTGCATTCATTGAATTTTGAAAATAAAATTTTTTCTCAAAATAAAATTTTTTCGCTACCTACCTACCCTATTTTTTTCGGTCAGGGGACAGGAAACAAGACTATTTCTTCTTTTGGCCTTAATTTTGTTTCACAGCTTTAACGATCAAATCATTGCAATATTATTTCTAGTACTTGCTTTCAGTGTCATAGTTTTAAAGCTTATATTAACTAATATTTTCAACCCTTGATGTTTAAAATCCATATAAGCGTTACAGTTCATCATTCAGTTTGAAATTTTTATGAAAAAGTTCCATTTTCCTTGATTGAGCTTATTCCAATACAAGAATTGCTCCAGGGGGAGATAACTGGTAATTTATGTAGAATCTCCATCTGTAAATTTTGTCATAATGAAAATCAAGTGTCTTAACTTTTTTTATCTCATCAACGAATCAATTAACGGTTACGAATTGGTAATTATTAATCTAAATAACATTTCATTTCTTAGATTTGGGTAGAATTTCTTTGAAATTATTGATGATTTCAGTGCCATTCTGCATGTTCAGTTTTACATGTATGTTATTTTTATGGTACTGACGTTTGCTTTATTTTTTTTCTTATAAAGGGGATTTAAGCGAGTGAAGTTTATGTTACATTTTCTATCCTTATTCATTGTCTGCTTTAAATAAAACCTTGTTACTGTGATAAGATAAAGAACAGCCTGGTCCCCTTTGTAAATAGCTTCCCTTTTGTAAATTAAGCAACATGGTAGACAATTTTTTTTTTCGTCTGCTATGGTGTACATATACATAATATATATCTGTTGTTGGGTGCTAATCAATACATACCTGGTAATATCTACATGTATACTATTAAATAGAAATAATATATTGTTATCATGTGAGAGAGATTACTCTGCACTTTGTACATGTAGAATGAGTGAAGTTTTGAGTCATATATAAGATCTGTTTTCCTGTAGAGAAAAATCATTTAAAAGCAATAAAAAATATCAAAAACCTGTTCATTTGACATTTGTTTAGCTTGAAAAAAAGTATGTCAACATGAGTCAACATGCTTATAATATACCAGGCTTACATCAAGTTAGCCTTACTCTGGGGCCTTCACCATGGATCTTGACCTCTACGATTTTAGAGATGGTTGCATATTTTCAAATTTTTAGCCGAGACCTTGATGTTTGCTTCCATAAAACCGAGATTCTTAATACTCATCTGGATAAGGAACCTAGAGAAAAGTCATGGACTACAAAAACTGTTAAAAGATCCTAATAGTAATAACTGAAGTTTCAGTATAAATGAGTTCTTCACATCTGAGTTTTACTGTAGTATATACTGCACAAAAAAATTCTACAAGACCTTTTTTAAAAGTTAACATGTTGAAGGTGACATGACCAACTTAGTCGCACCCTATAGCAAGAATGTTTAAAACCTCTTGACATGAATTTTACAATTTTGGTAAAATAAAAGGTCAATTCCCATTTCAATTGTACAAAAAGTTTTTCCACTACAAGAAGGATAGAAATAATATCAAGGATGAAAATTCAAATATGAATAAATTCAATCAAACGTACCTTGTAACCAGAATGTGAAGAAATTCACCTTGCATTTACTTGTAATTACACTGTAATAACTCTTCTGGCAAAGAGCGAAGTACTTGTATTAGGAAAAGATCATAAAATTACAATTTGGTGTAAAAATCTTTTGTATGTATCTACAAAACTTGGAAACAACAAAATGAGCAAAGAGTGATAACTCTTAAAAACATTATAATATTCCATTGAATGCACTACCTGGATTTTAAACAAGCCTCAAATTCTCCTTGTAAATCTAAACAACTCTACAAAAATCTGATGTGGCTTTATGAAATAAAAAGAGGAATGAATAACGCTAAACTAAGAAGAATGTACATAGGGCATCATGACTGAGAAAGAAATCCCTAGAAAGCATTATCAACAGCTCTAATACACTGGAGTTGTACACGAGGAATTAAAAGATCCATTTTCATGAGGACTCTTGAAGAACAGAGTTCCTAGCAACATGGCCAAAAATCTTCAGAAAAGTGACAATATTTGATACATATTCCTCAAATAAAATGTTCCATACAATACGTTTATACATTTATATCTTTCTTATGATGTTGACTTATCCATGTTCATTATCAATCTGACAAGAAGACATACTACAGAAGAGGTAGATGTAATAATTATATGCCAGCAAATATACACCGTGAAAGAAAACATTCAGAATTTATTGTTCAAGTTGGCTATATTTTCCTATATTCCAGCAGTGATAAATGATAACAAATACCCTGCTTAAAAGTCTTTATTTTTGTTAACTTTTATGTACACATCACAAAAATACAGAACATTAGTTTAAGGTGGGGAAAAACAATGACATTCTCCTTGCTATTTTACGTATACACTGTACATATATATAATTCATTCTACTACATGTAAAACTGAACAATTTACACTTTTTTTACTAACAGTTTCAAAATATATAAAAGTAACAATTTGTTGTAAGTAAAACAATACCATTTTACTACAAAATTTCATAAAGTTCATCACCCCATCCCCATTTTTTCTCTTCCAGAATAAACATTTAATTATAGACAAAGTGAACTCTAAACTTTACAAAGAGGTCTCAATTATTGAATATAGCAGTGGACAGTGTAAGCGGCAAAAGTCTCAACTTCTTTTATTTTCATAAAATCATTTACATTGGTGCAAAAATAAGATAAAATCATGGGAAACATTTTTGATGGCGTAATGCATGTCTTATGATGGTGCTATGGTAAGTATTGATGAATCATTACACAAACACAAAAATCCACTACCTTAAAGCTCTTTTTACACAATACCCTGACTTCTCTTCCTGTAGGGTGAATACAATTACATCGGCACATGAAAATTTACAGACTTGCCAAAGACACAGAATGTGAACAACCATCTACAATAATAAATATCTCTACTAATTATCTCCCCTCCCCCTTCCCTCTCTTTCAGAAAAAAAAAACTTGGACAAACACTGTTCAAACTTAAGTATAAGAAGAATATATATATAAAAAAAAATTGGCAGTTCACAGAGAGATAAAATATTCCACAATACTGAAAACTATGATATACTTTATACATGTTGAATACTGCTAAAAGATATTGCTTGGGGTTTTAAAGACAAGTTTCTAATGTAGATGAAATATGAAGGATTGTTATAATTAACTGACTTATAAAAGCATGGAAAAGCTTGAATACCAATTTAAAATAAGAATTTGTATGAAAAAAGTAAGATGCACCAATGATGAACAACATTGCACAAAGTAGGAGTTTACAAAGTTTTAAATAATCTGTTCTAGGAGTGAATATTTTCCCTTCAATTTCAATCATTCTTTTTATACCTGTCTAGATAAAGAAAATTTGATTTTCTTTTTACAATATCTGACATCATCTTGGGCAATGCAGACTTTGAAAATAGTTTTCAATTATTCTTTTTATACCTGTCTAGATAAAGAAAATGGCTTCTCCTCCTTTGAACAAATACTGTATACAGGGTTATTTTCGCCCCGTCTTATTTTCGCCCTTTCACATCTGAAAACAAGTTTGCCCCGTTTTAAATTCGTCCAAAAAGATTTTTGATTTAAGATATTATACTGTTTACATTGAATTCGCCCCGTTTTAAATTCGCCCACACCAGACTAGGGCGAATGGGGCGAAAATTAAACACGGGCGAAAATTTCCCTGTATACAGTATTCTACATATAACACCTAATACAAATCATTTTTAAAAATCATCCTTTTTTTTTTTTTTTCTGGTTATTCCTTAGATTCTTTTTTTCCTCTCAAAATTATTTAAATAATAAACTTTTCATTTAAAAAAACTCATAAAACAGGACTAGAAAGGGGGGTTATAGTTGCATGATAAGGATATAGGATTTTTGTTGAATAACTAACTATTAAATTAACAAAATTACTACATTTTTTGTACTAATAAAGACATTTTGATCCCAAAGTAATTATTATTTTTGGTGACTACTTTCTACATTTGGACGGCTTGTCACAAGAATGTATAAAATAAATTATGAATAGAAAAATAAAAACAATATCATAATATTTTAACTCATATCTAAGCAAAATAAGAATGCATTTAAAACTATGTTATAAAATAACTATTGTGCTCTAAGTACTTTCTACAATGACTTTTTCTAAGTTAAGCATTTTAAATTTGTGTAGGATTACTTTAATATCAATAATAATATTTAATAGTAAAATTGTATCATACTTCTATTTGCTGCATTGAAAAATATCTATAAACTTGCAATTTTTCCCCCCAAGTCATGATTAAATTATACATACATGTAGTTAATATGAGGATAAACTAGGAGACATGTAACAATTTACTCTGCACAAATTAAGTTTTGTATGGAATGTCAGGAGACAATATGAACTGTACAAATTACTGGCAAATAACTAATTAATATCAGACACAATAAACTACAAAACTATGTTAAACATAACAAAGAAAAACAACATACATCTTCCAACATTCGACCTCAATGTTTATTTACTCTGAGATTAAAAAAAAAAATTTGAATAAAGTTTGAATTGCTCATTCACAATCTTGTTGCATTTGTTCATTGCATTTTTTCCAAAATATGCTTGGAAAGCAAATTGAATTCAAAACATTAAAAACAAAGGCCACAGTGCTCACCTGTATTCCTTGGTTCTGCTTTCTGCATTTGGGTCCTGCTTCTCTCGGGACAAAAAAATCCCCCAGTCTGACTAAAGTCAGCCCCTACAATTTCACTTCGTTCGAATCAAGTGAAATAGTAGGGGCTGACTTTAGTCAGACTGAAAAATCCCCCTTTTTTTAAAATTCCGTTCAAGACGTAATATTGTGGCCAAATCCTAGAAAGCATGACTCTTCAATTATAAAAATTATAT